CACAGATTTGAACAGATTCATTTTGAATCCTTTAATTATATTGTCACTCCAGAAGGTGAAATGCCCCAGATCCTACCGATTTGTCTTTGGGGAGTGTATTATTGTAGTGTTGGATTTTTTCGCTGGCGCATCTGTTGGCCCGACTGGCAAGCCTCAACCCGTCCTTGCTCTCGAAGGACTGGGACATTTTTGAAGGCTCCTTATATACTATGATTATACTATGCTTGACCTTAACCTTACACTAAACTTAACCAGATGTGTAAAAGTGAGTACCGGGCAAATGTCCGTGCATCGCTTGACATTTCTTGTTTTGCACAGTAACACACACAAACACCCCGGCTAGCTCATCCAAATCCAGTTTAACAGATATGTCAATGACGGGAATTCTGAAAGTATCTCATCGCACTCCCCCAGCACACAGCAGGTCACTGTGTTTTACGTGACCAGCTTTCCTGTTTCTGTCTGTTGTCCTACAGAAGAGTAAGAATAAGAAGAAGGGGAAAGATGAGAAATACGGTTCAGAGCTGACCACTCCAGAGAACAGCTCGTCTCCTGGCATGATGGACATGCATGGTGGGTAGGGCTCAACTTAGAGTCCTAACTAACTAAACTGACAGTGCGGCTTACTGTCCGCTGTACGCGTAAAACATAACTGCCAGTTTTACTAGTCTCACAATTAATTTTACTAGTCTCACAATTAATTTTACTAGTCTCACAATTAATTTTACTAGTCTCACAATTAATTTTACTAGTCTCACAATTAATTTTACTAGTCTCCCAGAATTAAACTTAATGTAGAACGCGTCACCCAATTTCTGGGTCAGTTCGTGTGCCTGTGAATCAAAGGTTAAAAAATATGTCTCTACTATTTCTCTCCCTCTCAGACGACAACAGTAATCAGAGTTCCATAGCTGACTCCTCCCCCGTCAAACAGGAAACCAGCTGTAGCACTAGCCCGGCCCCTGAACCCACTGCCGTATCCCACGGTGACAGCAATGAGGTCAAGAACGACCAGAGCCCTGACAGCAAAAGGGGTGAGACACACACCAGCACAATTTCATTTCCTACTATGGGGCCTTTCAGGTGGCACAGTGGTCTATCATCGCCCAGGGATTGAGGAGGCATCGTCAACAGGAATTTCCTGCTCTCACTGACTCTTAGCAATTCCCTCAGGTGGCAGAGCGCCTGCAAAGCTAACTGAGGTCCCCAGGTGAGTGAGGGTGAGCGAAGAAGCCTAGGAGGAAGGCATGCGGCGATATTCAACTCTCCCGATCCTGTGGAAACTTTTTCATAATGACACGCATAGATACAACCAGATGTTTTACAACATTTCTTAAAATTACCACTTGGTTAAAGTAAAATCTTAATAACAAAAAAAAAACATTTACCTCCTTAAAATCCCTGTCTGCTGTGGCCCACCCCACCCTATTCATACTTGTAGTAGCTTGGGGCGGATGCAGCTAGAGTTTGGCTTTAGGAAAACGGTGTTCGTTTCAACTGCTGTTTGGTTAGCTGAAGAGCTCCAGCAGCACTTAGGCTCACCACACAGGGAGAGACATAGAAGGGTTGAGAACTTTCTTTTCCATCTTGCTGTGAGGGAGAGAGGGAGTGCAGCTGTGACCAGACCCTGGGGGCCTTAACTGCCAACCTTCCATCTGCCCCTCCACTAACAAGAGACCTTTCTCAGACTAGTGCAAAATAACTCTCTCTTTGTCCATCCTCCTTTCTCCTCTCTTTTTTGTATTTCTGTACCCCCCCCTCCCGTTTCTTTCTCCATACACCTCTTTCTCTTCATCTCTTTTTAGTACACGTATTAATCGTTCCTGGTGGTGCGGTTTAAGTTGAACAGGCAATAACTATCGCCACGAGTGTGACCGACTTAAAATGTGATTAACGTGATGGGTTGGGGTTGTATTGTCAGTGTTAATGTGTCAGTGTTAATGTGTCAGTGTTAATGTGTTTTATGTCTCTGTTTGTGGTACAGGGAAGAACAACCCGTCTGCTGAGGGATCAGATAGGGGACAGAGGGACAAGAGAGACAGCAGCCAGACGTCCTCAGGAAACAAGGACACCTCAGACAGCTGCAAAGCCACTCAGGTACCATCTGTTTAACTATATGTATATCTGAGATGGCCAGTTTAGATGCATCTGTTTTACTATCTGTATATCTGAGATGGCCAGTCTAGATACATCTGATTACTATCTGTATATCTGACATGGCCAGTCTAGATACATCTGATTACTATATGTATATCTGACATGGCCAGTCTAGATACATCTGATTACTATCTGTATATCTGACATGGCCAGTCTAGATACATCTGATTACTATATGTATATCTGACATGGCCAGTCTAGATACATCTGATTACTATATGTATATCTGACATGGCCAGTCTAGATACATCTGATTACTATATGTATATCTGACATGGCCAGTCTAGATACATCTGTTTTACTATATGTATATCTGACATGGCCAGTCTAGATACATCTGATTACTATATGTATATCTGACATGGCCAGTCTAGATACATCTGATTTTACTATATGTATATCTGACATGGCCAGTCTAGATACATCTGATTACTATATGTATATCTGACATGGCCAGTCTAGATACATCTGATTACTATATGTATATCTGACATGGCCAGTCTAGATACATCTGTTTTACTATATGTATATCTGACATGGCCAGTCTAGATACATCTGATTACTATATGTATATCTGACATGGCCAGTCTAGATACATCTGTTTTACTATATGTATATCTGACTGTTTCCTCTGGTGTTGTGTCTGGGCAGGAAAAGGAAGAAGAGGCTCCTCCCAGCAAGAAGAGCAAACTGGAGTCTCCATCTCAGGACTACGAGGAGAAATAGACTGAAATGCTGCACACTTTCTTCTAGCTATCTTCTTCCAAACTTCCCCTCCTCTCTTCCTCCCCTGTAGGCCCTCAACACTCCCCTGAGCAGAGGGAGAACGGACTTTACCTCCCTTCACTGAGCCCTCTCCTCCTCTTTTTCCGCACTTACTCACTCCCTCACTAATGCCACGAGTAGCTCTATGAACCAGCCTGTTATCCCTTCCATGGCCAGGGGTGGCGCTGTGAGTCCAGCTCAGCCCAAAAGAGAAACACTGACCTGCACCTGTGACCCACACACTGACAATATGGGACTTATCATTCGACACTGGCAGCCCACACTAAAGGAGTAGGAAGGAGTTTTCCCTAGACACTAACCTATGGTCCGTTTCTGTCGCCCCCGAATGGTTTGAATTGGGATACGAGGGAAGGTAAACTGACCCTAGATCTGTGCAACTGAAGGGCGTCTTCTGACCCGGAAGCCATGCCTAACCTCCCCGTAACTCTTCTCTGGTTGTTTTAGGTGTTTGTTTAGAACAGTTTGGGCTTGTTGTTTAGCTCAGGAGGGTCATTGCACTGTTACGGTTTCATGTCACGAATAGACCACACCATGTTTTTACCGCTGCTGCTTGTATTTAACTCGTTTCCTAGCGGAGGACCAAACGGTGGTACTAATCACGTTTCTCCTTCCCCATAGTTGCAGGGACAGGCTTGTAGCATCGGTAGGTTTTACCCGGCTGTATCTCTTGGCTGCTACGGTAGAACTTGGTAGGACGTGCTTGGTAGGTCAAACTGTTTTTTTAAGTACTTATTTTAGTGCCATGTTTTTATTTGCTTTACGTTTTCGACATGTCTCCATTGAGTTGACGCCAGTGACTTCACTCAGCAGTCACGTACAACTATAAAACAGGGTGTTTCACGTTGTTTCCTGTCTGAGTGAGGCCACAAAACCCCACACAGCAGGCGCAAAACGGCTGAACAATTCCTGCAAATCTCTAAAAGCAGCTCTCCCGCTAGCCGGCGTGCGTTGGCGTGTTCCCTTTTCCAAA